GGATGATATTCTTATATTCATTTACATTTTTAAACAATTTTGAGTCTGAGATATCTTTGTTGTATAAATTCATTGTGATACTCTATATGTGCAGTGTGCCAATAGTAGATAAATGATGTAAATGTAATATGGATTTGCTGGGATATGCTACATTTATCCCTCTATTATTGGGACATGAGTAAGAAAGACTTCTTTAAATTGAAACATGCCTTTGCTAATATAGAAAACAGACTTCCTAGTATTACATGCTACACTAACCACATCTATTCAATTAGTATACGTAGTACGAAGTATATTCTAACTGCTTTACCTTTCTATTACTATATGTAATATATGATAATCAAATACATGATATATATTAATTGATTTCATTCGATTACCATATACTCTAATATTAACATATACTCCTTCCGCAGTTCCGCCCCATTAAATACGAAGGGGATCAAAGGAAATACTAACAGCCCATTAAATATTTTACAGATACTGATTGGTAGGATCAAAGGAAATTTGAAGATCTCATATAGTTATCATGTCTCTGTTGGTGGAAAGTTGATATATCCTATAAGAGTAAGAAAGAGAATGTGCGGTTTCTAGTTAAAGTGCATAATTACAATCAAATTCAAAATAGAATCATATTCAAATCCGAAACACCAATGCCTTCAAGTTGTGGTGTGATAATCAGGCTGCAAATTGCGTTATATCCATTATCCAATCTAAATTTTCATGAGAAAGTAAAGCATATTGTCCATTGCATTTTTAATGTATTTGAGAGAAGTGATTAAAAGGTCTCATTTCTTTAGGTTATGTGAAACCGAAGAACAGTTGGGGAATTTATTTACGAAGGCATTAAATAAGATTATAAATGAGATTAATGATGATTATTTATTTAAGAAGTCGAGCAATATAGACTAACTTGAGAGGAGTGAAATATATGGTAATAGTATATACAGTTATAGATATATATGGCAAGTCAATTAGAATTTATACTGATAGAATATACTTAATTAGTGTAGTATGAATTATGATACTAGGAAAACTGTTTAGTATATGGGTATCTATGTCTTGTGTGTAGGATATCAATTCCTAAGTTCAATAGGAAGGTTGCGTCATATGTGATAAATGCATCTACGTCTTGTATGTATTGGATCTTAATTCCATTGTTCAATAAACAAAAAACACTTGTTTTGTCTCTTTTAAGTATGTAAGTTTGCAAATAAAACTATAAAAGACAACGTGAGATTGTTTCACGTTAAAAATGTGATAAATTTTTAGAAAACTTGCATAAAATTAAAACTGTCACGCTAAAAGTTATTACAAAAGTGGCTAAAGCTATCATCAGTCTCACGGGATGCCAGCTCTTGCATATATTAAATATAAAGTGCTACTTCTGCTTAGTTTAGTTACGATTACTGCAGTTTAACAAGTATTGCTTTCTCTTCAACGGAATGAGATGATATCTTGATTTGAACATAAAGGAATGGCTTCATTAATCAAAGTTATGACTTGCTGACTTCAGGAACTTCCAGAAGGGAGTTGGTATTGTCCGCGATGCACATGCCGAGCCTGCGGGGATGTGGTAAAAAATACTGAAGCTTCTGCATTCACTAATGCGCAACAGTGTATACAATGTGAACATCAATGTAAGCTTGCTCTCCCGTGAATGTTTCACTTCACAATGAGTTCTTATTCTTTCCCTATGGATTTCTATAATTTACTTTCCGGTTTTCATTTTGTGGTAAGTTATTTGTTTTCTTGACTTCTATTTTGTTACTGGATTGTCTTGATAACTATGATAGACCATGAAACATGCTTGAAGCAGAAAGGCATGAAATGTGGAGTGGCTTCTGATCACTGGTCATGTAGTGACCAATGTGAAAAGGTAAACATTCACTGGTCGTCCCTTTATAATTTTTTTTCACTCTATCTTCACTATAAGAAAAATAAAGAGATAATTAATTTTCTTCACCTGTTTTCACCACTTGTCTTGCTTTTGCATTTGTAATTATTAATTTTGAGACTGTTATATTTAGAAGTATATCTAAACAAATGATGTTTTTAGTTTGTTTCCTTAAACCATAAACAACCTATGGAATGAACAAAGTGAGCATTAATTAAAGGAATTTCTTAATTAAATCAGGTTTCTGAAGTTCTTTTTAGGAAATTCGCAAATGGAAGAATACCAATAAGTTATGTCATGCATGGAGTTAAATCATTTAATACAAAACGGCTCTGTATGTTCTCTGTCAGATGAATGCTATTCATTTGGCTGTCTTACAGGTTTAGTAGTAATTTATGAACCACAACACCTAAATCTTTTTCAGTTCTTGTTTTAAAGAACTGTTGTTGTGGATTACTGATTGCACTTAAGGAATTTTATACATCGATAAGTGTTGTAACTACAAAAGAACTGTTAAGTGTGATGTTCTGATATAGTGACACAGAACAAAACAGCAAGTAATTGAAAATCAGCAACTTATAATTGTAACCAAAGCTACTCATGAGTTACCATAATACTTTCGAAGTTTAAACCAGACATAAGAAACAACCATTTTCCACACTCCAAACATAGCCATAGTAGTTTTGACATGTTCAAATGTTCTATTTACAGACTTTTCGATGGTCCACTTTATGCAGGTTTACACCCATCTTAAGTCTCTCATTGGACTACCGAATCAGCTGAGTGATGGCTTCTCCTGGACACTTTTGAGGTGCATCCCGCAGGACCAGAACAGTCATTCAGTCCAGCAGCTTCGTCCTTTTCTTGCAGAATGCAACTCCAAGTTAGCAGTGGCCCTTACCATTATGGAGGAATGTTTTCTTCCAATGGTGGATCCTAAAACGGGCATAGACATGATACCTCAAGTTATCTATAATTGGGGGTATGTGCAGACTTCGTACAATCATTCCCTCTTTATTACTACCTCCGTCCCTAATAACTTTGCCAAGTTTGACCGGCACGAGGATTAATAAAGTAAAAATTGTGTGGTTGAGGTTTGTGCAGAGGAGAGAGAATTAACTGGAACCACAAATTCTTTACTTAAATGGGAAAGTGGAAAAGTTATTGGGACATCCAAAAAGGGAAAGTTGGCAAAGTTATAAGGGACGGAGGGAGTATGTTCCAAAGTACTCTCTTTAACTTTACTTCTTTGCAGATCACAGCTCGGGCGTCTGGACTACTGTGGATTTTACACTGTTGTTTTGGAAGACGACGACATTATGGTGTCGGTGGCAACAATTAGGTGACTTATAGTCCAAGCTTTTTTTAATAAAGAAATAATGAGAAACGTATGACTAAAATTTGTGGCATATACATCACTGTGATTATAGTGTTAGTTTCGCAATGACTGTACTGATCATGCCAATGTTCTATTTTACTATGCAGTGGCTATGACGGTATTCTTGATTTGGCTATAGTTATTTGTAATTATTTTTGTCCATGTCTTTTATTGTAACAAAATTACAACTGTATAAAAAAACCTCTTACGTAGAGTATTTTGTTACTGTCTTCAAAAAGGGATGAAGTGCATAGGATGTGCCTTTAGAAAACTACTACTTTCCTACTAACAAAACTCCTAACACAATATGCACAATAATTAATGATAAAGAAGAATTTAGTACATGCATGAGAATTCCAACAGTAGCCACCACAAAGTTTAAAACATTCAGATTCCATACTAGTGGCTAGAGTGTACTAGAGTTATTTTTCCCAATTTAAATGAATGAATGAATGAATGAGATTTAACCTACCCTTCACAATGTTCTGTCTGCTCCTTTAAGATGTATATAAAAAAGAAATGTTCTATCCTTGTTTCTCCTTGAAGTGACGGAATTTGCTTTTTTAAAAAACCATCTCATGAAACAGGATCCATGGGACTAAGGTAGCGGAGTTACCTCTAATTGCAACTTGCAGCAAATACCGCCGCATGGGAATGTGCCGCCGGCTTATGAATTGCATAGAGAAGGTATATAAAAAACCAACTAGCTACCAGCTTTGTTGATTATTTTCATTTCATTTTCATTTTCATTTACCCCAGTGCCGCAAAGGCTCCTACCTACGGTGGGGTAAGGGGGGGTCGGATGTACGCAGTCTTACCCTTGTACTAAAGCACAAAGAGACTGTTTCCAGATGACCCATAGTGAAGCTACCAGCTTTATTGATATGCCTGACTTTTCAACTTCTTGTCTTTACCACTTTTGGAGTGTATTACAATGTTTATATTAGGTATAAGGAAATAGTGGACCTAAAGCTTCAACATATTATCAGAATAAGAAACTAACTAACAAGTGATGCTTAGTGTACACACTTTTTGTACACATTTTGTGTATACCTTCTCAGTTTTCTGTCAACAAGGCAGCTTCTTCACGAATTGCCTATGTAGACAGACAACTAGAGGGAGTGTACACAAAAGTGTACAAAAAGTGTGTACCAACAACTTTTTCCAACTACGATACTGCTAAACTAAGTAAACTACTCTTTCCGTTCTCTATTACTTGTCCCCTCAGGTAGAGGGTGCAGGGTAAATGAAAAGGTACAAAAGAGAATATATTAAGAATAGTAAAGTAATGATAAAGTAGGAAAGAGAAAGTAGTACTACTATGTAAAAAAAAATAGGGGGGGGGTTAAGAGTACTAAAAGTAGGGGTATAAAGGTATTTTGATTGAAAAACATACTAAAAAGAGAAAGAAGGACAAATAACTTAAAATATCCCAAAAATGAATACATTCCATCATTTGCAATGGAGCCAAAGATTCATTATTTTTTGGCTTGAGAATATGATGGAATAAAGCAAAATGGCTCACTAAACTGTCTACACTTCTTTGTTATGAAGCAGCCGTCAGTCCATGCAATTTTGGACGCGATTTTCACTATAGGTCATCCGGAAACAGTCTCTCTGTGCTTTAGTACAGGGGTAAGACCGCGTACATCCGACCCCCCTTACCCCACCGTAGGTGGGAGCCTTTGCGGCACTGGGGTAAATGAAAATGATGAAAAATGATCCCAAAAATGAATACGAGATAGTTATTACAGATACAGAACGGTGAGAGTGTATTTTTATGATTTCAATACTTTAAAATATTATCAAACAAGTGTCGAGCTACCCTCACTCATATATTTACATGCAACTTACTGTAGAAGAGCATTTTCTTTCTTCACTTTTGTATGAGTTTTCATCTATTCCGCTCACCGAATTCGATATGAAACAATGACGGAATGACGTAGAATGTGATGTGGTCATTGTGGTAAAAAGACATAAGTGAACATGGACATTGAGCTGACATCTATGTTGTACAGAAGAGTGGAAATCATGGGGAAAAGTGAAACGGAAAACGTCATTTGATATTAGAAAAACAACTATTTCGGTAGTTTTTGAAACAGAAACGTACTCCTCCCCAAGAATTTTTGTGCTACAATGGCTAACACAGTGGATGACATGCCAAAAATACTCTTTTTTGAGAAATAAGTTTAGAATAACCTATAATCGAGAAATGAGTTTAGAAATCACCCCACTTGAGAAAAACTCTGATAACCTCTCACTGAATAAATAAGTGCCCATTTGGCAATCCTAGAAACTTGGTTTATAAATCATTCCCACCAAATCAGGAGACTTTTCAACCACAGTAATTTATTTGACTCGGCTTTACAGCTTATAATTAAAAAAGACTGATTGATATGATTCCTTTCTCATTTAACCCCTTCATATACGCTAAAAAGAAGAGAAAAGGCAATTTTAACATTCTACGCACATCATCTGATGATCTCCTCGTTAGTTTATCTAAGTCCATTTAAAGACTTTTCAAATCGGTGGAAATCAAAATTTTAACTAATATTGGGGCTGCACGTAAATCTTATCTTATTTAGATTAAATAATACTAGTACTTTAATTGGGACAAAGTTCAATTTACCTTGACACCAAAAAAAATGACATTAGCACGGTCATAGCACAGATTTGGCACGGATACGCAAAATGCGTGCCACATTTTGTGTCAATGCTATTTGGTCACCAGTGCCAAACTTGATCAATCCGTGTCAAGTCCGTGCCAATATTGTTTTTTGTTTTTGTAGTGTGATATCAAATTCTGTGGGGTGGTGTACTGCGGTGGGTTTGATGCTTTCAGCTTTATGCGTTATGCACTTATATGGATTAACCTGAATGCATGTGGCTCTAGATGCTAAAATCATTGAAGGTGGAGAAACTCGTACTTTCTGCAATTCCCAGTTTAGTGGAGACATGGACTGTGAGGTTCGGCTTTGAACCCTTTGAAGAGAATGATAAACGAAGCCTGAGCGATATAAATATGATGGTGTTTCCTGGAAGTGTGTGGTTAAAGAAGCCACTGTACGTATCAGGCTCCCAAGACACTCTAGCATAAAGGTGAGACATTTTCTATCTCTCCCACATGGGAATTTGTGCCATTTTCTTTAACACATTACTCTCCTGGGAAATCATTGCTGGGAAATCCCATATGGGAATTTGTGGCCTAGTTAAGTGATCTCAGTCTAATCCTACAATCAATTATTTTATTAACCGGACAATAAATGCTTGAAACAGGATTAAAAGCTTACTTTAGAGTGTCATTTAATTGTGCAAGTGCTGAAATTGAACTAAAGAATGTGATGGAGAGAGCTTACAAATTAAATCTTCTGGGTAGGCTGCCCCATGTTGAATGACCAAATCACCCATTGCTGAACTTTTCATAGGCTGTAAATATGTAATATCAGTGTCAAATGGTAAAATGTTCTTTTTTGTCTTGTTGATAATCAAATAACTAAAGTAGTCATCCATCCATGCGTACGAATATTTATGCAATGCATGGAAAAGAGATAGAAATATTTGGAGAAGCATTTCAATCATCTTTACTAATTTAATGTAGAAAGAACATCAATGATAAACTGAGGGCCTATCGCCTATCGGTTTTTTCCGCTACACAGGGTGGGGGATCTAGGAGGGAATCGAAGCGCCCCGCGCCCGGCTGCTTCTGGTCTGGCTAACTACCTTAGCTCGTAGTGTACTATTAGCAGTACTTATGTGATTAACTAGCTAGGATGGTATATAATTACTAACGGAGGTTATCATATTTTTCCCATTTTTGGAAGAGAATGTGCTTTTCTATAGACAGAGTCCAAAAGATTACAATTACAAAGATGGCTATTATATCTAAAGTTGACTAGTCTACCAGATAACTACGTACGTAGTTACAATAGTAGACTAGTAGTTACTCCTTCCATCCCATAAAATGGTTCTCACTTTGACTTGGATAGGAGTTTAAGAAAGTGGAATAAAGTGAAAATGTATGATTCTGGTTGAGTAAGAAAAAGGTAAATAAATGGTAGCCACACAAAACTTTCTAAAAAGGGATATGAGAACTATTTTTCAAAAGACAGAGTCCAGAAGATTACAATTACAAAGATGACTATTTATCTAAAGTTGACTAGTCTAACAGAATAACTGTGTAGTTACAATAGTAGTTACTCCCTCCGTCCAATAAAATAGTTCTCACTTTGACTTGGATCGGAGTTTAAGAAAGTGGAAATAAAGCGGAAATGTATAATTATGGTTAATTAAGAAAAAGCTAAATGAATGGAAGCTACATAAATTTTTTACACAAATTCAAAAATGTTATCAAAATCGAGTAGGTCAGGATCTAAAATGAACCCATAACTATGCCCCAAATACAAATAACAATAGAATAATAATTTAACAATCGATTGCAATTCTCTAAAATATCAATTGAATATACATATATTGTTAGTACAAGAATAATATTATATGATTACTCAATAGCCCTTGAAGACGTAAAATTATGCTTACAATGTAAAATATCTAATTATAAGTTTTTACTATGTATAAATATTGAACTTGACAACCCTATAAATGTAATAAATATTATTTATTTATTTTCTTTGATGATAATGTAATAAACATTTTTATTATTATTATTATTATTGAATTATTAACAATATATGTAGTGATCATGTCAATGTTCTATTTAACTATGCAGTGGCTAGGATGGTATTCTTGTTTTGGCTATAGTTATTTGTAATTATTTTTTGTCCATGTATTTTATTGTAATAAAATTACAACTTTACAAGAAAAGCCTCTGGCTCTTTCATAGTGTATTTTGTTACTGGATTCAAAAAAGTTTGAAATGCATATGATGTGTCTTTGGAAAACTATTACTTTCCTACTCACAAAACTCCTAACACAATATGGACGATAACTACCAAATTAATGATAAAGAAGAATTTAGTACATTCCTGGGAATTCCAACAGTAGCCACCACAAAGTTTAAGACATTCAGATTCCATACTAGTGTCTAGAGTGTACTATTGGCCTTTAAAACTTTCCCTAGATTATTGCTAAAATAAATCTCATATACAAAAACATGAATGGTCATTACAGTCACTGCCAAAATATCACAATAATGGATCACTATGTAATATTCAAAATCAATAGTCACTATAGTCACTGCAAAACTATTAAATTAAACTATCCAATTTGAATTCACATTTTAATCCATTATTTTATATTTTAGTCATATTTTTCAATATTTCTTAATTTCAACCGTTTTCACTTTTCCCTATGCTAGGATGCTTGCCTACTTCACGTTTTACATCAAATTAAAATGAATGAAATTTAACCTACCCTTCACAATGTTCTATCTGCTCCTTTCAGATGTATATAAAAAAATGTTCTTTCCTTGTTTCTCCTTGAAGTGACAGAATTTGCTCTTTCAAAAACAGGATCCATGGGACTAAGGTAGCAGAGTTACCTTTAATTGCAACTTGCAACAAATACCGCCACATGGGAATGTGCCGCCGGCTTATGAATTGCATAGAGGAGGTACATGTCTGACTTTTCAACTTCATGTCTTTACCACTTCTGGAGTGTATGTCCATGACATTAAGCTGGGTAGGAATTGAAAATCTAAAGCTTCAACCTAATAAGAATTAGAAACTATGATGAAATGATAAATGATGTTTCGTGTACACAAAATGTGTACAAAAAATGTATGCTAACATTTTTTCCCAATTATGATACTGCTAAACTAAGTAAACTACTCTTTCCGCACAAATGCTAAAGCTAGCCCATTTTGTACCCCATTTTGTACCCCTATGTTTGTGGTTCACAGAAGCACTTCATTAAAATGGGGCTATTAATTTAATTGGGTTGGGTTTTTGTGAGCCACAAACATAGGGTGGGGGTACAAAATGGGGGTACCTCTAGAATTTCTCTTCTTTCCGTTCTCTATTACTTCTCCCCTTGGGGTTTGGCACGGGATTTAAGAGAAAAGTAGTAGGAGGTAGTATATAGGGTGTATGGTAAATGAAAAGTACGAAAGAGAATATATTAAGAAAGATAAAAGTAGAAAAGAAAAAGTAATACTAGTATGTAAAAAGTAAAAAGGGGTAAGAATAATAAAAGTAGGGGTATAATTTTGATTGAAAAAACTTCCTAAAAGGGAGTATATTTCTATGATTTCAATATTTCTTTCTTCAACTTTGTATGGGTTTTCATCTATTCCGCTCACCGAATTCAATACGAAACAATGAGTGAATGATGTAGAATATGTGACGTGGTCGTTGTGCTAAAAAGACACAAGTGAACATGGTCATTGTGTTGACATCTATGTTGTACGAAAATGTGGGAACCATGGGAAAACGTGAAACGGGAAACATCATTTAATTATAAAAAACAATTGTTTCGAGAGTTTTCGAAGCGGAAACGTTCTCCTCACCAAAAGTTTCTGTGCTGCATAGGCTGATATAGTGGATTACATGACAAAAATACTCTTGTTTGATGAATAAGTTTAGAATTACCCATAATTGAGAAATAAGTTTAGAAATGACCCCACCTGAGAAAAACTCCTATTACCGCTCACAGAGTATATAAGTGCCCTTTTCACAATCCTAGAGATTTGGTTTATAAACCATTCCTAGCAAATCAGGAAACTCTTCGACCAAACAATAATTTATTTGACTCAGCTTTACACCTTATAATAATAAAAATTATCATTCCTTTCTCATTTAACCCCCGCATATACGCTTTTTATAACACTCAAAGGAGTAATGCAAACCTTGATATTTTTTGGCTAAAAAGAAGAGAAAAAGCAATTTTACAATTCTACGCACAACTTTAGATGATCTCCTCGTTAATTTATTAAAGTCCACTTAAAGATTTTTCAAATCAGTGGAAATCAAAATTTTAATTAATATTAGGGCTGCACGTAAATCTTATTTGGATTAAATAAGAGGTAAGGGTCAAATTGATACTTGAAGTTGCATAAAAAGGGTCAAATAAGTCTTTACTGTTCGGACGTCGCCATTTGAGGTGGTTCCCGGTGGAAGTTTTTGACGAAAGTTTTTGAGCATCTTATTCATTAAGTCTAGTTTACTCATACCAAATTTCAGCTAAAACTTCAATCGGGAAGGCATTCAAATAAATTCTTGAAGATAACTGCGCTTTTAACTGCGCAGTTATCTTCAAGAATTCATTTGAATGCCTTCCCGGTTGAATTTTTAGTTGAAATTGGTATGAGTAAACTAGACTTAATGAATAAGATGCTTAAAAACTTTCGTCAAAAAATTCCACCGGAAACCACCCCAAATAGCAACCGTATAGAACCTTCTATATAAGGATTTATTTGACCCTTTTATGCAACTTCGAGTAACAATCTGATCCTTACCTCCGATTAAATAATACTAGTACATACGTTAATTGGGATAAAGTTCAATTTACCTTGACACTACAAAAAACAACGATATTAGCACAGACATAGCACAGATTTGGCACGGATACGTCAAATCCGTGCCAAATTCTATGTCAATGCTATTTTGTCAATAGTGCCAAACTTGATCGATCTATGCCAAGTCCTTGCCAATATTGTTGTTTTCTTGTAGTGTGATATCAAATTCCGTGGGGTGGGGTACTGGGTGGGTTTGATGCTTTCAGCTTTATGCGTTATGCAATTATATGGATTAGCCTGAATGCATGTGGCTATAGATGCTAAAATCATTGAAGGTGGAGAAACTGGTGCTCTCTGCCATTCCCAGTTTAGTGGAGACATGGACTGTGAGGTTGGGCTTTGAACCCTTTGAAGAGAATGATAAAAGAAGCTTGAGCGATGTAAATATGATGGTGTTTCCTGGAAGTGTGTGGTTAATGAAGCCACTCTACCTAACAGGCTCCCAAGACGCGCAAGCATAAAGGTGAGACATTTTCTTATCTTTGCAGGCCATTTTCTTTAACACAATTCTCTGCTGGGAAAGCATTGTTGAATGTTAAGACATTTGTCCCACTAAGTTATGTGATCTCAGTCTAATCACAGATTCTATGAGTTTATTAACCGGACAATAAAATGCTTGAAACAGATGCTGAAATTGAACTAAAGGATGTGATTGAGAGAGCTTACAAATTAAACCAGAAGCTGGGGAGAATCTTGTGTTGGTGAAAGACGAAAGCTATGGCTGCCCCATCCATGTTGAATGACCAAATCACTCAATCGACTTGTCACTGACCGGCCGGCCAGTTGTAGGAATCAAAGTCTTCGCTTCAAACTGAGGGCCTATCGGGCTTTTCCGCCATACAGGGCGGATCGGAGGATCTAGAAGGGAATTGAAGCGTCCCGCGCCCGGCGGCCGCTTCTGGTCCGGCTAACTACCTTAGCTAGTAGTGTACTATTAGCAGTACTTATGGGATAAACTAGCTAGCATGGTATGTAATCAGTAATGGCGGTGATTATATTTTTCCCATTTTTGGAAGAGAATGTGTTTTTCAAAAGTTTGAGGCCAAAAGATTACAATAACAAAGATGACTATTACTCCCTCTGTCCCATTTATTTTGTCCTTTTTTACCTTTTCGGAAAGTCCCACTTATATTGCCCCATACCATATTTGGCAAAGTTTGTGTGGCTCTAAATCATTATTACTTTATTCTTACTTTATCAATTAATATCAACCACACAAACTCACTTTTTTTAATAACTGTGTCACCCTCTTCCGGGACAATATAAATGGGACGGAGGGAGTATATCTTAAGTTTACGAGTCTAATAGATTAAAGGAGTGTTTGGGTTTGTTAAAAAAAACGTTTTTCAATTTTTAGCTTAAAAAAAGTTGAAAAAAGTGTTTTTAAATGACAGCTTCTACTTAAATTAATCACTTAAAAGCTAAAAGCTGGAAGCAGGTAGAAAGGTGCTTTAAACTGCTTCTCACTTTTTCTATTACACAAAAAGTACTTATTTTACCAAACACTACCACCTTTTACTTTTTCAGAATCATTTTTTTCTCAAACACTACCAACTTTTACTATTAATCACTTTTTCCAAAATCACTTTAAAAAACCACTTTTTTTAAAGTTGAAGCAATTGCAAACACTCCCTAACTAAGAAGGTTGAAAGAATCACAACACTACAAAATTTTGTGAAACTTAAAAACTTGGTAAATTATATGAACAGTTTTTTCCTTTGTTATAGGTCCAAAATAATTGAAACAATCTAAGAAACACTTATAAGATTTTTTGAAGAAAATTACCTAATAATACAAAATATGAAAAATAGTACGGAGTAGGATATCTTTCTCAATTGAAAATTAAGAGAAGAGCAAAACAAAGAGAGAAGTGCTCGGTTTTTGGTATCTAAAAACTTTATTTTTGAGGTGGAGAGGACCTCCTTTATATGGGAGAAGTTTGGGAGTTAATGGTCTTGAGAGTGTGATGTAATCTCACTCCAAAGTTGAGTTTCGAGTGGAAGTGGGTCCTTCTCACTTCTTGTTGAATAGTATTGAGTGAACGAGAGACATTCTCACTTTTTGTTGAGAGCTTTCACTTTAAGCAATAGTGGATGAAAGCTAGTTTTCACTTTAAGCAATATAATGTTGTCAACTACGAGGGGACATTTGGTTATCTTTTTTCTTTTCTTCTTATTTTCTTTTGATTTTTCTTTTTCTTTTCTATCATCTTTTTTTTCCTTCTTTTTTTGTATCATCTTTTTTCTTTTTGGATTGGGCTAGGCCCAATAGAAATACAACAAGGTCAAGGCCATTTCAAAAACAAAAACAGTTTTTTCCTTTGTTATAGGTCCAAAATATTTGGACCAGATCCATGTAGGGTTGTGATTGTAAACTTTCACCAAATTATAAAATCACATTCCAAAAATTAAAAAAGAATCACCTCCATTATACCAAATTTACCAAGAAAACTTTAAAGAAAATGAATCCCAAAAATTCACCTCCATTTTAAAACTTCGTAAATTTTCTGGTAAATTTTAGAAAATCACAACCTCGAAAATCATATGAAGTTTTTGCCAAAACAATGGCATCCCAAAAAATAAAAAGGCCAAGTTTATGAAATTGGACTTTTCAAAAACTTTTTGAAAATAGATTTATTATAAAAAGTGAAGAAAATGATGTACCAATTTCATAACCCTTTAAAATTATATTTAACTCATGAAGTTTTTTGTTTCTTTTACAAAATCTTGAAATGTGTCATGGTTGGCCACATTTGTAGCAAGTTTTTTTTTTTTGAATTTTGGGGTTTAAATGTTCTTAAAATTTGGGGTTGGACCAGATTAACAATAGTAGTTACTCCCTTCGTCCCATAAAATAGTTTTCACTTTGACTTGAATCGGAGTTTAAAAAAATTTAAATAAAGTGAAAAATGTATGATTGTGATTGATTCAGAAGAAAGTAAATAAATTGTAGCCACATATAATTTCTAAAAAGAAAAATGATATTTTTTTAAAAGATAGAGTCCAGAAGAATGAAAAGATTACAATTACAAAGATGACTATTTATGTAAAGTTGACTACTCTAAAAGAATGATTACGTAGTTACAATAGTAGTTATTCTCTCCGTCCAAGAATATAGTTCTCACTTTGATTTGAATCGGAGTTTAAGAAAGTAGAAATGTGTTGGAACTTTTTATGGTGTCCAATCTTGATAAATATCTTTGTATTTGTGTATCTATTAGTTTAGATTTAGTAATATATGGGCCACAAATGTATTTCAATCCATTAGCACCTTTGTAATACGTAAGTTAGACATCCTTACCTATAGAAGGAATGATTTCTTGATGTTGTTCCTTTGCACATCATTTGATCTTTGGGATATATTTCTTGATCCTTTGAATGATTTTGACATGTCCTAAGCTCAGAATAATCATAATCTAAACAAATTACAACTATCCAAACAAACTAAAGCATTACACCAAAAAGTGTGTAATTTCCAAACTAACGAACCACAAAACTAATTAAAAATGCAAGCATACAATTGGCAATTACAAGAATATATATCATGAACAAAGTAGCAACCTTTAATGCTCAATTCAAAATGAAAATAAAAATGAAATAATTTGTTTCCCCATAGACTTGAAAACATGAATGACAAAGAAAATGTTCTGCTTAATTCACACTAAGTTATGTAGACATAAATGAACTTTTATACAAGGTTCAATGAAATTGGGTTACTCGAATCCACTTGTAAATTAAGAGAAATTAGTGAATGAAAATAGTTAAATCTTTATCAAAGGGACCACCTCTTACATAGTTCATATGTCGAACATGTATCCTACACGCTCACACACTCTATATCTCTCATTACCCTCCCTTCCATGTGAGTGTGGGTAAATGCCACCCCCTTCACTTCTTTATCGTTGTCTACAATTTTGTTTTAGGGGTGGACGTATCGGTTTTGGTATGGTGTTTATCAATTTTCAATTAGGTTTGATTTGAAACGGATGTGCAAAATAGTCACCAAACAAAAATTAGACCATATATATTTCGATTTGGTTCGATTTGGATTTTTAATAATATACTTTGGTATATATGTGTGTGTGTGGAAAATTTATTTTGTTCAAATCGGTTTTATTTGATTTTTCTCAATTTCGATTCAGTTGATTCTAATGCAGTTCAGAAAAAATATTGTCAAACTCAGACCTAATTGCATAATTAAGTTCGATTTCAGTTCAATTTTATTGGAATAAGTAAGGTTCGGTTCAGTTAAATCAAATTGATATGCTCACCCTTATTTTCTTTTGTTGTTGTTGCCTATTCTTTTGTAACTGTCGTCTATCTCCTTGTTACTTTTGGTATTCCCAATTGTAAAACTTATTCTTTTAACTTCATAACTTTATGCTCTGGATCAATGAGTCCCTCTTGGTGTACACACTTTTGTACACTTTTTTGTACACTGCCTGTGTACACATGCAATTGGGAGACAAATGATGTCTTCTTCTTAACGAACTGGCTGTGTACACAAACAAAATAGGGGGTGTACAAAATTGGGTACAAATAGATTTTTTGTGGATCAATTCCAATTATTACAAATTCATGATATTTTTGTTTATCTTCTAATAGCTGATAATCTTGTCTTAAACGTAGTAATAGTTATTATGCAATGTGCTCATATTCTTAACCTTTGCACGAAACAGTAGTCATTTTGAACGCAATAGTATTATTTGAAAGGGAAAAGGGGCAAAAGGCCCCATGAAGTTGTCACCCAAGTTGATCTATGCCCTTGAACTTTTTTGGGGGGCAAATATCTTTAAAATCTCTTACAAGGGAGCAATTAGCCCCTCGATTCACGGTAAACCAATTTAGAGCATTAGCAACCATTAATCTTGTTCCTTTCAATTAATTTTATATACGGAGTATTTATTAACTAATCTTTTAAATTAATTGATATATGAATAAAACAATTCGAAACAATTACTCCATATAACGCTTAGAGCCCATTTGATAAGGTAAAATTGAATTAGTTCCTTTTTTTAAAGCCCTTTATATTGTGATATAAATATTACGTAGTGGGAAATATAAAGGATTTTTTACAAAAATATATTACTAAAATAATTTTTTACACAAATATAACTATTAGTTACTAAAATTTAGTGTCATAGTAACCTAAGTTCAAAAATTAAACATAAATTACTATGATTTCATTATTACTCTAGTCACTAGTCGTATTTTTTAAAATCATTTTTATTTTAGTCAAATTTATGTAATTATTTCAAATATAAATAGACTATTTTTGTGTTGTCACCTAATTTTTACTCTATTTTTTACCACTTAAAACCCATTTGGTAGCATATAGTTTGACTAATCCGTCAATGTTTTTGTCAAATTATATTAACCAGCCATTTTAGCTAAATTGTTTAATAATAAAAATAAGTGACATTGAAATTAATTTTTTGGTTAAATTGATTCGAGTTGTTTAAAGTTAGCTATTTTAGCTTTTCATCCGACTCTTTCTGGAACTCACTCTATTGAGTTTCGAACCCTTATGTGCCTAGCGGGTTTCGAACTCGAGACCTCCCATTAGGCACGGTAACCTCACAATCAGCTGGGCTGGAATGTTTGGTTATTCTCACTTGTTTTTATTATTAAACAATTTCAATAAAATGGCCTGTTTAAAAAAGTATAACAAAAAGATTGATTGATAAGCGGAACCATATGCTACCAAAAGGGTTTTATTTGGTAAAAAAAAATAAGGTAAATATTACTCCGTACGTGACAATACAAAATTAGTCTTTTTCATATTTCATAATTTTTATATCAAAATATAAAGTGCTAGGACCCTAATTCGATTTTGCCATTGCCATATAAAATGGGCTCTAATGGCTATATGGAGTAGTTCTTTTCTAATTGTTTTATTTATATTTATATTAATTTACAAGATTAATTTTTTTTGCTTGGTGTTTACAAGAATAGTTAATAAATAAATAAATAAATAAATAAAATTAATTGAAAGGAGTAAAATTAACGGTTGCTACTTGCTAAGTTGCTAGTGTGCTCTCAAATTG